TAAATCATAGCAGAGAACCAGCAACTCAACGAGTTTCAAGACAAGATGAGAAATCTGTGCTGCTATCTCTGCCAAGAGAAAGAAAACTGCTTCTGGTGTTCTCTATAGAGGAAGAGAAAAAAAATAGTTTCAGATACATAGTTTCACATCAAGCGACAAAAAATACGTACATTTGCTTCCACCAAAACAAACAAAACCTACACACCTGGAATAGCAACTGCAACTGGAATCATCATCTGAGTAAGCCTCTGCTAGCTCCCTGTCACTCTCTGAGCCCCGCGCCTTCTGCACAGGCCACACCGGTGAGTTAAGGGACACGTGACAGACACCACCCCTGCCACTTTCAAGTCTTTGATGGCGGCGTGAATTTCTGTGATTCTCCCGGAGTTGAACTATTGTTTCAGTCTACTTGTTTGTAAGAAGGCGACGTTCCAGGGGTTTCCACTTGTCCCTTTCTACGAGAATGACCCTTATTCCATAGGCCTGGAGAGTCATGTGTGAATTCCGCCTATAAATTTCAATTGTTCACCCTGAAACTAAGAAAATAATTCCAGGACGAGTCCAGAGTCTGACTGGGTGCAGCGTGCCTGGATTTGGGTCCAAACTCCAATGACCACCTGATCCACTTGAGCCCCTACACAGTGGTTCTCTGTGTCCTCAGAAATTAGCATTACATAGACTCAAGGTCGGCTAATCCCTGAAAAGTCTGTGTATTTTCCCTTCACAGAGCACAGTTCTCTGGCAAATGGCCCAGGAAAGATTTACAGTATGTGTCTGGGTGTCATTGAAGGGTTCACTCTCAAGCATACTGGCCCCTCTTCCATTCAAGGGGCTTTGGGTCTGGGAAGAACTGAGGCTCTCTCTCATAATGGCTCAAGTCGGGCTTCCATAGCCCAACCTGGAAGGGTCTGTTTGTTTATTGTTTTGTTGCTTCCGTTATACAGATGAAGGAGGACTTAGAGGCTGCCTGTTTGGTCCCTTTCGTCCTATTTGGCCTTGGAACAATTAACCTCTGCTGAAGATATCTGTGAGTTAGACCCTTCTGATCACTGCCTGATGTCTGATGTTCCAGAAGGCCAAGTGCTGCTGTGTGTGCTCGGCTCTCCTGGGGCCCCAGCATTTCCACTGAAATTATGGAGCCCGTTTCTGTGGCAGCACGTCTTGCCAGCATCCCTAGCCTGCAGAGAACAAGCAGCACATCGTGTTTCAAAGACACTCCCCTCACTAACGTAGTTCCCAGTGTCTTGCTGAAGGAAGTTTCCTACAGGCTCTGTAAGAGGAAGTCAGGAGTGTGAAACTTGGCCAGGGGGTATGTGAGTGGGTCACACGGGGTAAACCCACCTCAACCTTCCTCCCTCCCTTAGTCTTTGGGTTCCTTCCTCTATTTAAAGCAAGAAATTCCTGGCATTTCAACATCAATGAAGCACAGTTCCCGACTGATTCCGGGGTTCAGTCAGCCAGCTAAGCCAACAATGAAAACCACCCCTCGCTGCTCCAACTGGCACACTGAATCTAGGATCTCAGGTAAACGTATCCTGTATAATAAATAAATTCCGGGAACGCCTGGGTGGTTCAGTGGTTGAGCATCCGCCTTCAGCTCAGGTCATGATCCCGGGGTCCTGGGATTGAGCCCTGCATCGGGCTCCCTGCTCAGTGGGGAGCCTGCTTCTCCCTCTGCCTCTGCCTGTGGTTCCCCCCTGCTTGTGCTCTCTCTCTCTTGCTCTGTGTCAAATAAAGAAATAAAATCTTTAAAATTAATTAATTAATTAATTCAGGCCAATGAAATGATGTTTCTCCCTCCAGGGACCAGCACCCACAGAAAACATTCCCACTTATGTTTTCCAGATTTTGTGCTGATGGAAATTAGCAAAGTCTTGCGATGCTTTGGCTGTGCACGCTTCCTCCTTCCAGACTTGACTCCAGAACTAGCCCCCTGAGGCAGGTGAGCATCGAACTCCCGTTGCGGGACTGGAGACAAGGGGACTGGGGCATGAGGAGAACTGCCTGCCCCTGGCGGGTAGATTGAAAACACGCCCATGCTATTTTGCTGCTCCTGCCATCAAGAGATGGAGTCTGTTCCTCACCCCTGGGATCTGGGCATGCCCACGACTTGCTTTGACTGACAGAATGTGTTGGAGGTGACATGATGCCGGGCCCCAGGGCGTTAGCTCCTGCCTTCACCCTCTCAGAATCCCGAGGCCATCGTGCCAGGGAAAAGCCAGGATGCAGGGCCGCAGGTCAGGTCTGTGAGGCTCTGATGCCTCGGCCGCCAAGCACCGAGCACCCACCGGACCACTTCGAGTGAGCATCTCTTAGGCACTTCCTCCGCACCAGGCATTGTGCTGGGTCTAGGATGCGGCAGGACACCGGCAGACCAGGACCTGCTCTCAGGGAGGTCTCAGCTGGGGTCCATTTCCTCTTCCACGGGTGCAGGATAATGAGCTCTGTGCTGCAGGGCTGGGGTTAGGATCACATGGAATCCCATTGGTGACTGTCAAGTGCGGCCCTCGTGCCTCCTGTCCGTGACCTACTCCTCCACAGCCAGGAGATTTGGGTTTCCACAGAGGCCAGGCCCTGTCGTTGACCTGCTGGGTGGCCTTGGGCCGGCTACTTCACCTCTCTGAGCTAGTTTTCTCGTCTGTAACGTGGGACAGTAGTAGCTATCCCTTAGGGAAACTCTGCAGAATTAATGAGATCATCCACAGCAGGGCCAGGCACATAGTCAGCGCTCCCCATCTCCCCACACTTGCGCTATATCCAGGATCCCCACAATTCAGCAGAGTCCTCTCTCGGCAACTTTAACAAGCAGCGTGGTGGGAGTTACAGGACCTCCCTCCGGTGGCCTCCGTTGGAAAGGCTCCACACAGGACCCGGATGGGCCACTGGAGACACTGACCTGGTGTCCAGCCCCAGCCCACCCTTGACCTGTCCCCCTCTGCCACCTGCCCTGCCACCCTCCACACCAGCGACTCCACCCTTCACTGTGAGGCGGGAGCACAGACCTCTCACCACCTCCTGGCATGTGCCCGGCTGGCAGCCAGTGGCCTCAGGGCCCCCTTTGTGTCATTGGGGGTGGCCCCACACCCAGGCCTGGTTTCTTTCACTGCGAGTTCCCAGCTGGTGAGGGAGCTGTTGCAGGCTGAACTCTGGGTCCAGGAGTCCTGAGTTCGTGTCTAGTCTCTGCCCATCTCTGAGCTGCACTTGTAGGATTAGGATGACTTCCCACCTAACTGGGCTATTGTGGGGAAAAAGTGGGATGACATTTATAGGCTGGAAGAGGGCTATGCACCGTTAGAATCTGGCTAGTTCTTCTCCTGCCCTTCCTGGGTGGCATGGAGGGAGAACTAGCCAAAGTCCCAGAAGCAATTTCAGCTCAACCCCCGCTGGCCGTGCTGTGGGGCCTCGGGCAGGTTATTTAACCTCCCTCGGCCTCGGTCATCCCACCACTAACACAGGGGTAATTCCACCCAGCCAAGCTGCAAAGAGGTTTGGATAAAATTATATATATATCAAGTGACCAACACAGCATTTGGCATAAACATGATGTTAGAAGCAAAATGCAAAGGTAGTACCCGCTGATATTTAAATCATTATTCTAATTTTTAAAAAAAATACTAACTCACCCTTCAAGGCAGCCCATATGTCCCCTCTTCCTGGGCGCCTTCCTTATCTCCCCATGGCAGTCCTGGCTTCCCTCTGCACTCTCACAGCCCCTGCACCCCCTTTAGCACAGCCGCTTCACTTAATCAGCAGATATGTTAGTGTCTTATGTGTGTATGACGCTGAATCCAGGTGCAGGACATACAGGGGTGAACAAGACATGGTCCCTACTCTGGTGGGGCTTCCATTCTAGCAGTGGGGACAGACCGTGAATGCGTCAATAGGTGGAAATTTTCACAGCATTAAAGGGGCAGTAAAATGAGAAAACATAGTACAGAAACTGAGGTAGGGGAGGAGCTGCTTATATTGGGTTATCAGGGAAGGCCCTGATGAGCAAATGACATTCAAGCTGAGTTCTGGATGACAAAAAAAGCAGCCTTGGCAAAGAACCACTTGCCAGGCAGAAAGAAGAGCTAGTGCAAAGGCCCTGAGGCAGGGGATAAGTGTGGCAAGTCTGGGAACAGAATGATCACTGGAAGAGTGAGGAGTGAGCCCACTTGTCACTCTAAGTTTCCACCTCCAAATACAGCCCCTTGAGAGCAGAGATCTAATTTCTTGGGCCCACAGCACAGGACAGACCCGGAGCTCTGACAGCTGTGTTAACATTCTGTGGTGGTCCTAATAGGAGGGAGTCAGCTGGCCCTTCTGCAGCCCCATTCACATCGTGGAAGGACCCCAGCTGTGTTGTCCAGCTAGGCAGGGACTCCTTCCCTGGACCAACAAACCCAGGGCAAAGTTGTTGGAAGAGGGAAGCGAGAGAGGTGCCCAGAGAGAGGGAGTGACCTGCCCAAGATCACACAGCCAGCAAGCAGCAGAGATGGGGGTCAAATCCAGTTTCCTCCGCTCCTCTGCCAGGGGTCTTCTGCCCTGTGCATCCCCCTCACCCCGTCCCCCCCTAGCTATGGTGTCGGGAGCCCCAAGAACCATGAGAGGGAATGGGTGTGAGGACTCTCCTGCTATAAACCCGAACAGAACCAGGCTCCCACCAGCTCCTTCCTGCCCAAGCCCTGCCCAGTCAGGCAGCCCGAGCTTGTAGTCTGGCCCTGGATATGGACGAGGTCAGCTTCAAGTGGAAAGCTAGGGTGTTACAGACTGGACAGCCAGCGTTCAAGTCTGCAACGCCCTGGGCTCCAGGCCCAGCACTTCCATTCCATCCCTGCAGCCACGTGTCCAGGGTAGCCAGGACCAAATTTCCTGAGTCGGTGTGGACCAGGCCTGCAGTCACCTGCCGGCACTTCAGGGCCCGACATGGGCCCTGGCTCCACAGCAGGAGCCCTTGTCCCCTGGGAAGAATGACCTGGGAATCTCTGATCCAATCACCCTCCGTGCTCCAAAAAAACTTCACTGGAAAAGTTTTATTGAAAAAAAAAAATGGTACAAATAAGTTCTTGGTTTGACAGCAACAAAGGCTCATTTTCCCCCTGCCCTCCCCACCTTTGAAAATCTACAAAAGGAGAATAACAAAGTTCATCCCCATGATGCCTGACCAGAGTCTGCCCACGAGCGCCCCCATGAGCTAGTTCCTGATCCCCCTCTCTGGGACCAGGGCCATCGTGGGGGTGCCTGGGCCAGGGGCTGCAGCACCTCATTTTAGAGTTGACGGGAACTGGGAGAGGACTAGAATAGAGCTGGAGAGAGGGCTGAGGCGATGGTAGGGTCAGGGAAAGAGGGCCCCCATTCCACAGAGCTGGGCTGAAGCCCCCTAGCTCGATTCCATCTCACAGATGAGAAAGCACTTGGCTATAAATATGAACACTGATTGAGGCAGGCTTAATCCCAGGCCTCTGAGGGCAGGACACAACGACCGCCCCAGGTCCCACAGAACGTGGGGTGTGTGGGCTCACCATCATGATATCTGGGGGCCCACGTCCAAGCAGAGTGAATGTTGCCTGGGAAGATCTGCTCAGACACACAGGAAGCCTGCTCTGTTTCCCCACCCCCACCCCATGGAACATCCAAGGTCGGTACCTCAGCTCCCCCCCATAGCACCCATGTGTCTCAGGAGACTTCGGCTGCCTCCTGCCATCCCGTGACCCTGGGGCCCTACAGCTCGTCTCGCATCTTGTCACCCTTGGGCCGGACCAGGCGCCCAATGAACAGCAGGGAGCCGCTCTGGGTGTCTCGAACCAGGAAGATGAAGGGGTGGTCAGCATAGAAGAGCTTAGGGCTACGCAGCTCCTCACGCCCATAGATGTCCTGGTCGAAGGGGTTGCCCTCCGTGTCCCACTCGAAGGCGGTGGCATGGAACACACTGGCCAGGTACAGGTCCTTCTTGCCTGACATGCGTGACAGGTCTGCCTTGTTCTTGTCGATGGCTTCGGTCAGACCCAGCCCAGCCAGGTGTTTCTGTGGGACCAAGGGGGTTGCCAGGTGAGGCCACGACGGGCAAGGCTCCTAGACCCTCACCCTCTGCTCACACAGCCCATCACCTCCTACCCTGTCCGTTCCCCTCCCGGTCGCCTTCTGTGTGCTAGACGTGATGTGGGCCCTTCGGACCACCGCCTCCTCACTCTCGTGGCAACCCTCCAAGAGCTTCTAACCGCCACTTCATAGATGAGGAAACTGAGGCTTGGGGAAAAGGCAGAATTTATCCCTGGTCCGGCTGAGCAATCTGGGTCAGTGCTTCTCAAAGCAGGGGTTGTGGGCAGCCAGTTTGGGCACCACCTGGGAGCTTATAGGAAACACATTTCCTGACCCACTCCCTCCCAGAGCCACGGAATCACAATCTCCGGGGGTGGACCCGGGAACCCTCTTTAACAAAATCTCTAGGTGATTCTTGGCACACTCAAAATGTGAGAAAGACTAACCTAAGGATAGCTATGACCATATAACCTTGGGGCTAAAACCTGTCCAGAGTGATATGTGCCTGGGATTTGCTTCAAAATAGTCTGACGGGGGAGGAATGGGTGTGTACAGGTGAATCCTTATTGGTCCTGAGTTAATGATGGTTGAAGCAGGGTGATGGATACATGAGGGCTCATTATGCTGATCTCTCTATTTTTAATATATTTTTATATACTTCCATAATAAAAAATTAAAACACACCCCCGCAAACACGCAGCCCCCTCAACACACACTTTCCATGGCTCTGCAAAGGCCCTGGAAGCCAAGTACAAGCTCTTTCACACATGAGCTATGCTTGCACCTCAGCCTCACCCCTTAGCATGCCTCACCCTGCTCCCTATCCGACAGCCTCAATGAACCACCGGCACCCACAACGGTGTCTCGATGGCCTACCGGCATCCTGGTGGGGTGCTTTAACCACCCCATCTTCCGGGAAGCCTTCCCTCTCCCCAAGACTGCAGCCCTGCCTCCCTGTGGCTCAGCACCAGAGCCTCTCTCTGTTTCAGTGTCTGGGCCTGTCTATCTCCTGCCCTTGGCTCAGAGCTCTCCCAGGGCAGGGCCCGGGTCCCACACCCTCCCTGGCTCTCAGTGAGGAAGACGCAGCCGTGGAGGACTGCCGTCTGAGTCACCGGCAGCCCCGGAGTTCAGGTTTCTGCAGAACAGCCCACCTCCCCAGCAGGGCCAAACAGACACCTGATCCGGGCTCCTGAGGGTCAGGGGGTCCTGAGACAGCGATTCCAGCCCCAGTGACCCTATACGAGTCACACACATCACATTTCCCAACTCAGTGTCCCCCCTGGTTTGGTGTGTCCACCCAGGGTTCCAGGAAGACACGGGAGAAAAAAGGGGACAATGGAGTCAGAGAGCAGAGGCTGCAGGAGGAGGAGCTGGGAGGGCCCGGCACAGGCCCAGGACACAGGGTTGGCACCCGTCTGGAAAGCGCAGCTCGACCCGCACAAGTGCCACAAGCCTGTGGTGTGGAGCCCACAGCCCATTTCATCTCAAGCTTTCTGTCCACGGCGGCAGCAGTGAGTCTGAGTCAATTCTGTGAGGGAGAAGCTTGCCAAGGAACCCTTTCTGGCATCCAAGGCAGGAAAGAGATAAAAGCTTCCCCTTTGGAGCAGGTACAAAAGTCTCTCCTGACTGACAAAAAGGCCACCCTGAGTTTTCACCCTGAGGACTAACTACAGCCCCACCACTGACTAGCCAGGGTGGCCTCAGCAAGCCCTGGCTTCGAGAGACCCAGGGTGGTCATGAGGGGAAAATACTACTGAGCGCATGGATTCGGCTTCCAGTCATGGCTAGTGCCGCACGGCTGACGGCCATCGCTGGTCTTACTGCTGCATGGGGGTCGACCGTCGGCTCGAACAGCCCCCCACTGGGGGCACCTCAGACTCTCCGAGGTGGCACAGCACAGGATCAGGGCGCGGCCTGGTGCCAGACCCCTGAGCTACCGTCTGTGTGACTCTGGATAAGCTGTTTAACCTTCCTGAGACTCCATTTCCTCATCTGTAAAGAGCTTGATAGTCCTACCTAACAGAGCTGTTTTGAGCACTAAAAGTTTAATATACGTGAAGTGCTCAGAAGAGTGTCTAGCATACAGCAGGCGCCCAGTTGTATTTAGCTACTGAGGTCATCATCGTGTTCCCAAGGGCAGGTCCCATTGGACCTCCTCCCCGAGCAGTGCCCAGTCCTGCCTGGACACCCACAGAGACTCAAGACAGACCTGCTGAGCTGATGAATGGGTGCCCGAAGCACCCCTCTCCTCCAGGCCCTGCAGCCCCCAAGTGGGGCCCCCCCCTCACCTGCAGGTCGTGGGTCACCTCCACCACACCCTTGGGCAGGGAGATGGCAACAGCCGCCTTCTGCATCTTCCCCATCCAGGTCTTCAGCTGTTCCTTGGTCAGCAGCTTCTCCAGGCGCTCCAGGGGCTCCACGTGGTGCGGCATGAGGATAATGAGGCTGGAGAGCTTGTGGGCCAGGGGCATCTCCACGATCTGCAGCTTCTCTTTCTCGTCGTCATAGTAGTTGTAGAGGCCTGGGAGGAGAGCAGAGAGGCCGCTGGGCATGCTGGGCTGGGAGCAGGCCAGGGCCCAAGCACCCCCACAACCCCAGCTCAGCACACGGCTCCGCAGGGCACCCACCTGTGCGGTGCATCATCGTAACCCCCACGGTATAGGAACGGGTCACCATGAAGCCTCGGTTGTCCACCATCTTGTGGTGGAACTTCTCATCCCAGTGTGCTGAAGTGGGAAGCAGAACACAGGGTCAGAAACAGGCCCCCCTCTTAGGACACATACCCCCAACTGCACCCCCTGGATTTCTCTCTCTGCCACAGGCCTTCGTTCCAGTCTTTGGGGTTCAGCTGCAGCCCACCTCCCCTCTGAGCACCCAGCCCCGAGAGTACATGCTCCCAGCTTTGGGGGACCGCGGTGCTGGCCCCAGGACATGATGCCGGAAGCTAGGGCTCTCTACAGTCAGGGCCTGGATCTTTCCACTTGACAGGGAATTCCTTCCGAAGGAGGACCCCCGAAGGAGGACCCCCAGCTCAGCCACCGCTGCGTCCGCCCTCCGCCCTGACACCTGCCAGACATTTAGGCAACACGTGCTGAGCGGCAGCCCCACCCCGGCCGCCCCTCCCCTCCAGACTCACGCTTGAAGAACATGGCATTGACCAGCAGCGCGCCATCCGTCCGCTCCACGTCCTTGGTGACCTCGGGCAGCTTGCCGTCGGTGGTCTGCGCCGCCCACTCGTTGATGGACTGCAGGGCGCTGCGCTTGTCGCGGAAGTTGATCTTGGAGTGCTCGCAGTTGTAGTGCTGTTTGCTGCTGCGCACGAAGTCCTCGGCGAAGCTCACGGAGCTGGGACCGTACAGGCGGCTGCCCAGCTTCCAGGTCACGTTGCGCGCTGTGCTGTTGCTGAGCGCCCGCAGCAGCTCGCCCAGGCCCGCGTGCACCTCCTCGTCGCGCAGCTGCTCGGCGCTCAGCACCGCCTTGGCCTGGGACGCCGTGGCGGCCTTGCCCCCCAGCGACACGAGCCCCAGGGACGAGGCCACCACCACGGGCGACAGCAGGATGTTCTCCACCGCCTGGTCCTTGGCCATGGCCTGGTACAGGCTGAAGGCCAGGCCGGCACTGCGCTCAGCCAGTGTGGCCGCTTTGGGGCTCAGCTTTTCTGCTGTACCGGGTGCCGCCGCGGCCGCCGGCTTCTTCACCTCGGCGGCCAGGGCCACGGCCAGGAGGCAGCAGGTGCTGATGAGCAGGAGGAAGCGCATGGCGGGGAGGCGGATTGGATGCACCACGGAGGACCTGTGAGGGCTGCAGACAGGGCGGCCCTGAAACCCTGGGGGCTCCTCCCCGACGACCATCCCCAGCCTACTGGCAGCCACCAAGTCCCCTGCAGATGGGAGCCAGAGAGCCCTGAGTTGTGGGGAACCCAGCCCTAACTCAGAGCTGCCCAGATCCGAGGTCTTAGTCGGCCCACTCTCTCTGAGGCCTTCTCTGAGCTCCTTATCCAAAACAGGGTTTCAGGCAAGTCACCACCTCCTCCCTATTGATTTCGTACACTGAACGGACAACACTGAGTCTTATGCGTTTATTATGCACTATCTCCATGCCTAACTAGTCTGTGACCTCCAAGAGGACAGGAAATCTAGCCAGTCTGGTTTACCCGTATATCTCCAGTGCCTAGCACACAATAGGCCTCAGCTGTTCCTGAATGAACAGAAACCAGGGCCGTCTGGCCAGACTTAGGGTCCTCAGTTCGCATAAAAATTAGCTCTCATCTCATACCACCCCGGCTCCCTTTTCCAGTAGAAAAAAGTGGCAGATGGACTGAGGGTCTGCATGAAGCACAGCTGCCTGGGCAAAGGATGTCCTGTCAGGACAGGCTGAAGGCCTGCTTCTCCCCCACCCCATGCCTTTCCTTCTGCCCTGGGATGTTAATGAGTCACTGGTTAGCTCACTCATTAAGTGGGGGAGACCAGATGCTCCACTCTGCCGCCCCACGGGTGACCTTGAGTGTGTGTCCCCTCCTCTCTTGGCCTCGGTCCCCATTTTCCAAGCTGTTGGGGCCTAGGTCTCCATGCCCAAGGCCTTGTCCTAGCAGGGACAGGCCTGCCCAGCTCTCCCCAGTCCCTGGCGTGAAGGGGAAATCCCAGGACACAAGTTGAGTGGGGGGTAGATTTCCTGAGAGGAAGGGTACTGGAGGAGGGGTAAGTCACAGCTCAGTGGAGCAATGACACCCCCTCCCCTTCACCGGAGGCTGGCCAGATGTGTGTCCGCAGGAAGCTGGGTCCACCTCACATTCCATTCTGCCCTCCCATCTGACAGTTGCTGCCACCCAGGCCCTCTGCTCTAGGGCTTCAGGGTGGCCCTCAAAACCCCTCCCAAACCACAGTGGTAGCAGTGGCCCCTAAAACAAGCCTCACTCCCCTCCCTGGGGCCTCCAGTCAGGACAGTCTCTCCCTATAGGATACTTCCCCCGCTACTTTCATGCAGGACAGAAGAGGAGATGACTGGGCAAAGGGAAGGGTTGGAAGGACTCTGATAGAGGCTGGGATCCCACTGCTCTGGCAGATCCCATCTCATGGTCCTCAAGAAAGTCTGAAAATTCAGAATCCTGGTGGAAGACTCTCAGGACTTCAGCCTGCGTGCGGGAGCACTGGGTTTCTGGGAAGACCCCGCTGCTACAGCTACCCTGCGAACCCAGGCAGGTCCCCGCTCCCTGGGCTGCCACCTCTTTGAAGGTGCAGTGTAAAGGGGAAGCCAAGAACACATGGTGGGGGGAGAGGAGGAGGCAAGGCATAGAGAGACCTGTACCCTACCCAGAGTCCAGACTGGGGAGGTGATATATCCCAGGGCCCAGGCCGCCTTCCTCCCAGCCCTAGCTCCTTCCCCACCAGGCCTGGAGCCTCAAAAGCATAATGACCATAGGATTATTGTACAAACAAGGATACCTAAGAAAATGAAATGGAGCGCTACCAATTAGTACGCCAGGACAACAGGCATATGGCCGCTCTATTCAAAGGTCACCTCTAGTTCATACAGCTGATGCCAGAGCACAGACCCCGGGCAGAGGCCACTAGCAGCCCACTGGGAAAGTCAAGGAGCCTAGCTCATAGCCCTGCCACGCGGCAGGCACCATCTTGACAGCCCCCACCCACAGCCAACCCGAACTTCAAAGGACTGGGAGGGGCCTTGCAAGAAAGCTCCAAATGACTAGTTTGGGATTCCTCTGGCAGCCACACAGCTGCGCTCCCGCTCCCGCTCCGCTCTAGGTGACGTGGCAGGCTGGAAACAGAATTATCTCCATCCGCCGGCAGAGGGGGGCTTCCAGCCTGGGAGGCAGGAGGCCTGGCTTCAGGTCCCAGGGGGTGCCCCAGAGCCTCCCTGGCCTTGGCTTTGAGTCTGCCCATCTGGCTCTGCAGGCAGATGCGTGGCTGTGGAGAGAGCCGCCCTGTTAACCCGGCAGCAGTCACAGAGGAAGACAAGTCACGGCAAGCAAGGCAGCCTCCCGCAGCCCAGAGAAATCCCAGCCCTGAGGCCACGGTTAGACGATTCACAGTCCCACAAAGGACACGAAAAATACAGGCTCAGAGAGCCGAGGCCTGTGCGCACAGCTAGCCAGACTCAGCTGAGACTGGATCCCGGGTTTCTGTAAGAGGGGAAGGTAAACAAATTCTCGGGGGTCCACCAGAGAGGATCTCAAACACTTGAGGGAGTCTAAAGTACCTTGAAACTGCCTCAGAGGGAGGTCAATGCCTGCCTTTTTCATTCTGAAAGAAAACAGAAGAGGAGAGTGGGATAGGGCAGAGCTGGGGTGGGTGGCGGTAAGGGGGGCCTGGAAGGCCCAAACCCTGAACGGGACCCTGGCTACACTGCCCCTGGCACAAAGGAAGGCTTACCCAGTCGCAGATCCACAGGGACTTTGGCGGCTGTCCACCTCACTGTGCAGTGGGAGCAACTGAGGCCAGAGAGGAGAAGGGAGCCACCCCAGGTCCCACAGGATCTGTGGGGGTCGGGCCTCCCCGCTCAGGGCTCCTTCCTCCCAGAAGCACCCACAGAGCCCCTGAGGAAGCCTGGATGGGGTATCCTGTTACACAGGGAGTAAAAAAAAAAAAAAACATTTCTGCAGGGAATCCCCGTGACCAGAGACAAAAGGAGTGGCTCTCCGGAGGCCTCAGGAAGGGGGGATGGGCAGATGAACCATCTGAGGATAGGAGAGTGTGGTACCAGCCAGAGACTTCCAGGGAACCAAGGCCCCCTAATTTTCCTCTGGCCTCCAGCCTCCATCCGGGCCCTAGAGCCCAGAGGGACCTGCTGGAAACCGGGAAGAGGAGGGGCCGGGCCTCCTGGCCATGCTGGAAGTGGTTTCATTCTTCCTCCACTCCAGCCACCTCAGGAATGTCCCTGGGCTGGGGACAGGGTACCCTGGCCTTTGGAAGTAGTAGCCTTAACCCTGCAGTTACTCCAAGAACCAGGCGGCAGTGGACAGAGTTAAGAGTGGGTGACTCAAAGCCTTCTAGTCAGCTAACCCTCCGCTCCTGGGTCAGGGGATAAGGACCCTGCTGATTCCTCACCCCCTTTCTGGAGGGAGGTAGGGGAGATGGTGCTGGTCAAGTTACTCCTTTAGCTGCCAACACAAGCAGGCTGCTGATCAGAAACGGAGCCACCGTCGGTGACTCCTCCCAAACTGTAGGGACCCCAAGACACCCCCCCCCCGCCCGGTGAAAAGCCTAGACTATTTCACCTCCTTTCCTACCACCCTACCTTCAGGAGGCTCGAATGCACCCCTCCCCCACCCCACCAAGCCCGTCAGGAGACTGGTCCACCCACCCCTGCTGTCCCCTGGGCCCCAGCCCCAGAGGCGGAGGCGCCCTTAACTGCAAAGCTGGCCTGGCTTCCTACCCCTACTGGAAAGGGCCCCAGACCCCATCTCCTCCCTTCTGGTTCCTGCACAGGCGCGAGTCTCGGCATCCTGGCTCCCAGCCCCAGTGTTTCCTCTCTGCCGTCACCACCCCTGCCCCATACTTCTGTGGAACCCCGCACTTTTTCCGAGCCTCCCAGTGCCCGACTCCCCGCCCCGCCCCAGCCCTACAGGCTCACTCAGCCATCACCATCCACCCCCAGGCTCCCGATCCCAAACGCTCCAACGACTCCCAAGGTGCCAGGGACTCCGGTTTGCGGGCTCTGGGTTGGGCCCCAACCCCTCCCCCCGGGGCCTCCCGCCCCCTCTCACTCCCCGGAGCACCCCCAAAGCGCCCGCGGCGCGCCGGCCGGCCCCCTCCCTCACCTGGGCCGGGCGGGCTGGCGCCGGACGAGAGTCCCACTGCTGCCGCGGACGGATTCCACTCTCCGCCGCTCCCGGCTCCCCAGGTCTATATATGGCGTTCCCCTCCTCCCGCCCGTCCCGAGAAACTTCTGGAAAGTTGGAAAAGCTTCCGGAGGGCGCCCCGGTTCCGCCAAAAAAACCTAAAGACCTCCCCCAGACCGCCCCGGCTCCCGCCCCTCCCTCTGCGGGCTCTCACCCGGCCCCTGGGTCCTACTGCCCCCCACACCGGGCGGGGCGCGGGGAGCCCCCGCAGAGAGGCCGGGCGCTGGGGCCTGCACGACCGGCACAGTGCGCTGGTGTTCTTGGACTCGGCGGACACTGCGGAGACTCCGCACCTCCGAGGTCCTGGAGATGGGGACCGGGGGGGGGGGTAGGGGGGAAGGGGGCGGAGTTCGGAGCGCTGAGCTGGAGGAGACACTGAGCTCCAGGGTCCAGCTCCCCGGAGAGGAGCACCCTCCTCCCCACGAGGCTGCTTACCCCTTCAGCAGCCTTTCCCTTTGCAGGGGCTCTGCCCCGAGGCGATCCACTCCCCCCGTTTTAGAGCGGAAACTTAATTAGGTCCCCTGACACACCCCCTCCTCAGTCAGGGTCCCTCTCCTTTGTCTTAGGGGAGGTGGTCAGAAATTGAGAGGCAGCATCTTTCTCCATCCGCAGCTTATCCTGAACGCCTTGGCGGAGCTGGACCTCAGTGACTGCCCTGAGGGGAAAGGGATCCTAACCCGCCCAATACCTGACCATAACTCTGGAAAGTCGTGATAGAGGCGGAGCCTCCGGGAACGTCGTGGTTTGGCTAGGTCTGGAGGGGTGCACAGGAAGGATCACCCTGGCTGTCCACTAAGTAATACGTTGTATGATCCTAAGCAGGTTACTTTCCTTTTCTAGGCCGTAGTTCCTTCTTTGGCTGTGAAATGTGGTGCTGTCATTCCTTGCTCCCTTACCCCCTTCCCTGGTCTGTATGTCTGTCTCCCTCTCTCCTTGGTTATCCCTGCCCTCTACCTGTCTGGGTCCCCTCCCAGGGCTCCAGGGCTCACTATCAACCCCTCTCACCCCACCCTCCTACAACTGATAGTCCCTTGAGCTCTAAGCTAAGCTGGGTATTCAGGTCTGTTCTAGGTGCTAAAGACGCAGCTGAGAACAGGACAAAGTCCCTGCCCTCAAGGATGTACAGTATGAGGAGGAAATGTGCATGTTAGTAGGGAACTCAAGAAGGCAGAAGATTATTTAGGACATGCCCCTACCTCCCACCAGTCTTCTAATAGTGAAATGATGGATAACAGACTGGCACAGTATGGAGAGGGAGGGACAGGGTAGAGAGACACTTCATTCACTCATTCGTTAAACCAATCAGTAAACTGTGCTGAGTGTCTTCTTTCTTCCAAGTGCATCCTTGGCTCTTGGGGATCAAATGAATCCCAGCACCCAGTGGATGAATCATCTGGGTCCCCAGCAGTAGGGGTGGGGGGGTGACTAACTGTGAAGTCTGGGTTAGGTGCTGCTACTTCAAGTCTGATTACAAGGACGGTGGGAAATCTTCCATTCCAAGAGCTTCAGACTCTTTGAGTCAGGGTCAAAGAGGTGGAGAGGACTTGAATCCAAAAGTGACCATCATAGAAGCTGATATCTTCCTTGAATCCCCATAGAATCTGAATCTCCATCTAGAGAATCGTAGAGTGGTAAATCTCAGAGTCAGAGAATCTTAGAAGAGAAGGAGCAGGGGCTCTGGGCTGCAAGGCTTCTCAGAGGTCATGGATTCCTGTGTGCGGCCCCAGGCAGAAGCCTCTCCGCAGGATCCCAAAGGCAAGTGCACGGCATCTTCTAGAACAGGGAGTTCAAGTCCCACAGAGGCAGCCCAGTATTCTTTCTTAGGACAGGTCCAATCATTAACAAAATTGTTCCTCTTTAGTGTGGTGTCCATCGCTTTGGAGTGGCTGTCCTGGTTTTCACGTGCTTCTTCCTGCCTCAACTGTGTATTGCTTTTAAGGATATGTCCTTGCTATCCAAGGAGACCACCTGGGTCACAGGCCAGAACCCACCCTCTACCCCATCCCCACGCCTAGCTTGGTGCTCACAGGGTAATCAGCCCGTGAACTAAGAGTCCATCAAAACTGGTGGAATAAAGGAAAGGTCTTGGTTTCCAGTGGGTCCAGATGTCAAAAGCCCACAGAGATTTCCTTTCCTCCACACTGTTCCATTTCTTAGCTCTCTGAGGCCTCACCAACAGTTTCGGGGTAAGCAGAATGCTATGACTCTCAGTGCTGGCCCTGAGGGGGAAGGGTCAACTGAGGCTCCTGCTGCTGGATAAACCCAGAATCCTAGAAGGTCAGAGTAGAAAGGACTAATGCCCTCCGTTTAGAGAGAGAGAAGCTGAGGCCTGAGGAGAAGGCTAGGTCTGAAGACCAAACTGGGTCAGAAGCCTCCACTATGGCATTATTTCTGTGTCATCACCCTATGGTGTCACTGAGTGTCTCTGGAGACCTGGGCCGCCTTCTCTCTAGGAGTCCCCAGTACCCAGCACAGCGCAGGCCCAGAGGAGGAACTTGGTAAGCTCCATCAGAGAGCCAGTGGTGGGAAGCATCTGAATGAGTCTGTGGGGCTCCAGGCACCGCCTCCCTGAAGAAAGACAACGGCTCCTTTAAATTTCCAAGATCAGCAAAAAAATGTCAAGAGCCTTTGTCACATTATTCTTAGCTCTGAGCCCAGCCCAGGCCCGGCTGTGGCCCTTCCCCCACCCTTCCAGGCTGCATATTCTGGAAAAAGCACTCTTTCTGGAGGGAGGAAAGACTGAATTGCAGAGAGACTCTCCAGCACTTCAGGTCTGGATTCCTCCAGTGCCTTGGCTCCCTGAAGGAGCTGTTCCTGCCCTCCGCCCCATCCCATCCCCAAGAGGGATGGAAAGTTGCACAAGGTCACACAGGAGGTCTGAGGTAGAGCTGGGCCAGAACCCAGGTGCTGGACCCCCAGCTGTCTTTCCCCCAAACCACCTTCTGATTGACCCAGCCAGATCGGCAGACCCCGTTTTACCAGAGATTACAGAAGCGGCTTTCTTTGGCTCCTGTGGCTAGATTCATGCCGTCCTTGCCCTGTAGAATCCTAGCACAAAAACTAACATATCATTTAACTGCTCAGCATACCCGTATTTCATATTTTCAGAGTAAGTAAGAATGTCACCAGTTTATTTTCTTTTTAAGTATGATCCACACCCAGCGTGGAGCCCAGTGTGGGGTTTGAACTCACGACCCTGAGGTCGAGACCTGAGCTGAGATCAAGAGTTGGATGTTTAACCCACTAAGCCACCCAGGAGCCCCAGAATGTTGCCATTTTAAACCGGAGGAAACTGAGGTCAGGGAGGCTCAGTGGAGTGTTTAAGGGCATACATGGAGCTGCATTCAGCACAGGGATTTGAACTAGGTCGGTTTGTCCAAGGGAAGGTAGGGAAAGGGAAGGACTGAGGAATGGCGTTTATGGGTCACTTTGCTACGGCTGGCCGTGCTGGGCACCTAAACCGTATCTCACTCTTAATTACAGGACGCTAATTGGAAGGAAGCGTAATCCCTTTCTCCTTTTCACATGGGATAAAAAGGGCAAAGAAAGGTTCAGCTAAACAGTCCAGGGCGGAACCTCTTCCTCAGAGTAGGGCCAGGGCTATCTCAGGCTGCGCTTTGAGATGCTGTCCGGAAGCCAAGAATATGCTCGCAGCCCAAAGCATGAGTCAGGGAAACGCAACTTCTGCAATCTCTGATTTTCTCTGTGGAGCGTGGGGCCTTCCGATGAAAGGGCTGTCCTGTAAGCTGCCACGTCTGAGGGTGGGAGGCCCCGTGTGGGGCTGGGGTGGGCGGGCACAGCGTTTCTCCCCTCCTCCCCCCAGAGCCGGCTGCCCCCCCCCCCCCCCCCCCCCCCCCCCCCCCCACCCCCCCCGCATTGCTGGTGCGGAGGGAAGTCACACGGGCCGTCCAGTTACTTCACTCACCCGTCTGACACGACACCCAGGAGACATATGCCCACTGACACATGACGCTGCACATGCACGTGTCTGTCCACACGCTGTGGCCCCTTCCTGCAGTCCACGCACACACGTGGCTGCGTATTCCCTAGCAACACAAATGCACCGCGCGGAGCACACGTGCCTCATAGGAACCTGTGTGCAGGGGGACAGGGGAAAGGGCACAGCCAGGAGATCTGGGGTTCCACTCTCATCCCTTCACCCCTCATCAGCTGTGAAGCACTGGGGAAGTCACTTCCCTCTCTCAGCTTCCATTTGTAAAATGAGAGGCTGTGACTCCTCCTTGCACCCCACTCCCTGCTGGCGGCCGGTTGTTCACCCTGCCTTCACCTCAGAACCTGCAGGCTTGGGGCACCTGGGGGGCTCAGTCCGTTAAGCGTCTGCCTTCCACTCAGGTCATGATCCCACGGTTCTGGGATCCAGCCGCATCCGGCTCCCTGCTCAGCGGGGAGCCTGCTTCTCTCTCTCCTCCCCCCCCCACCTCCTTAATGCTTGAGTGCTCTCTCTCTCTCTCTCTCACTCACTCTCTCTTAAATAAATAAAATCTTTTTTAAAAAAATCTGCAGGCCTTTCTTGAGCATCTACCACGTGTGGGGTGCCCCAAACCCTAGGAGGCTAGGATATAGTTCCCATTGGGAAGTGGAAGGAACCAGGTGCAGCGCACAGGGACAGGGCTCCTGAGCCCAGCCCAGGGCTCCCTTCACCAGCTCTCTAGTGGTCCCTGGAGAAAGTCCAGCCCCTTCATTGCCCTCACCGCCCTAGCATCAGGCATGCCAGTTTGCAAAGGCAGGTCCTTGGTGCCCCCAGGGCAGAGATGTTCTCCCTTCTTAGGGTCAGAGCAAGGGAGGAGGCTCTTAAGAAGGCTCAGCTTTAGGGAATGGGGCAGCACACTGTACTTTGGGTGGATTGGTAGCTCCCTCCCTTCTCCCGGCCTCCCCCTCCCAGGCCTCCTCTGGCAACTCCATGGAAATGGCTCCAGCTGCCTGCAAGGCCAAGAGGCCAAGAGGGCTAGTAGGCTGGTAGATGCTTGTTAAATATTGTCTGGTATCTACCAGGGTATGGGTTAGGGTTAGGGTACGGGTTAGGGTTAAGGTATGGCTTAGGGTTAGGGTATGGGTTAGGGTACGGGTTAGGGTACAGGTTAGGGTTAGGGTACGGGTTAGGGTATGGGTTAGGGTACAGGTTAGGGTACGGGTTAGGGTACGGGTTAGGGTT